AAAATATAGTGTGCACACACACATACACATCATGGAACACTATTCAGCATTAAAAAGAAAACCCTATCATTTGACAACATGGATGAATCTGGAGGAACTTATGGTTATGAAATAAGCCAGGGAACAGAAAGACAAATTCCACATGAATCACTTATATGTGTAATTCCAAAAACAACAAATTCATAGAATCAGAGAGTAAAATAGTAAAATGCTGGGGGAATGCAAGGATTAGGGTAAGGTTGGTCAAAGAACACAAAATTTGTCATGAGGAATAAGTTCTATGAATCTATTGAACAACATGGAGACTATAGTTGATAACAACTTATTATGTTATACTTGAAAATTGCTGAATTATTTTAGGTGTTGTTGCATCAAAAAATGGTAAGTTAATGCATATGTTATATAGCTTGACTTTGCCATTACACAACATATACGTGTACTAATTTACGGTCACACAATAACAACATATACACTATAAATATGTACCATTTACATGTCAATTAAGCTATCTCTGAAGCACTTGACTGAGAAGGATTATCCGATGTAGTCCATGGGCTGAAGCAGCTGAGGATGTGAGAACTGAGGTAAAGACAAGAGATTTTTGTCCACTGACCTTTTTCATTTTTATATTTTCACTCTCTAGATTCCACAGCTTTGATCTATGGGAAACAAACTAATTCAAAGATGGGCTTACTCAAAGAACTGAAAAATCTAGAAGAAATTTCCTTTTTGATAATTGTCTATCTCCAGTTAAAGTATCCCCATAAGGCAAATAGAGTTTTCACACAATCAACTAAAACATAAAATTAATTGAAAACCATGGTCGAGGCATACTTTATAAAGAAACCGCTCAAAAACACCATGCATACCAGGTCCATCCTCTTTGTTTAATGTGATTATAACCAAATCTTATATTCAACAAAAGGGACAAAAACAAAAGTATTTCCTTTATTTGAACTTCAGAGTACAATCCACATGAATTTTTATGTTTACATTAAACCCCAGGTCCTCTTTTGCTAATAGCCCAAATCTATGTGTGCACATAATACGTGAATCAATTTCTCCAACCTAGGACACTATAATCTCTAACTGGTACCTTCTCACAACTGGTTATGTAAGTTCTCCCTGGGTAGAGAGAAGAGTATTAATGCATAGAAAATGTTGTTAATTAGCAAGCCTATCTTATCCCATGACATTGGTTGCATTGGTTGTAGTTATATTGCTTAGTTTTGGCCACAAGCCTATAAAGCTTGCACTCTTCAATGACACCATAGCTTAACTAAACTTATAGCACCACTTGGTTTGGGTTTATGCAGAAAAAAGTTTTCCAATCCATTATGTTAAGAAACTTTGGAGACAAACTACTTCAGTCTCCTGGCTGATGGCCTTACTTTCGTCTAATCTAGACAAAAATGCTTCCATTCAGCACTTTAAAATATCTGAACCTTTTGTGCAGAGGCAGTTATTATGCAAGGGGCCTTCGAAGATACTCAAAAAAATATGCAAGCCTATGTCAAAAACCAGGCCATGGAACATCCAACAGGTTATGAGTAATATATCCCAAACCCCTCTTTCTAGGTGTGACCCTGCCTTGGATTAGCTTTTCGGTTTCATTCCCTTGGAAACCTGATGACAATGGACCACAAGCTGTGTGATCAGAAGAGTCTGCTTCTGATAAAATGCCTTGGGAGGTATCCCTGTCCAAGCTGTGAGGGCTGTGAGGAAATATGTTACAGCTTGGAGAGTATATTACTTGTTCCTGGGTCCTATTGAGGATGCTAAGAACTGTTAAAGAGTGAGTGATCCTTATGACTTCTAAAGCCAGGGTGACTTCTACACCCTTTTTTGTGGTCTGTGGGGATTTCTGTGGTAATTCCCAAGGAAGAACTGTGCCTAAAGCTGCCTTCCAGAATATTATCTTGCCTGCCCCATGTCAGGCAAGTTTACAGAGTAAACTAGTATCCAATGTGGTCTTTCCAAGTCTTGGGAGTTTCCACAGTTGAATACAACACCAGCTGTGATGGATGTTGCAGAAACACTCAGTAGTGTCTTCAACGAAGACAAAACTTTACAAAATGGTTTAAGACACCAAAAGGTATCATTGAGGTTTTGGGCTGAGAATAGCAAATATAAAGAGAAAGGGATTAACTTTAACATTTTTATTAAACTTAACTATTTCTAAATAAAAGAGCAAAGCATCATGGTACAGTGGGAGGAAATCTGCTCAGAAGTAAAATGCGACCTTGAATAAGGTGCTTCTCCCTAAATATATCATTGTCTTTATATGGAAGAGGAAAGGTAGGGGTAGCAGGGGAAAAACATAAATTTAGAAAAATGTTACATAATGAACAACAGCTAGAGAAAACAAAATGGTCAGTTTGGTTTGTGTTTTAAAATGTCAAACCTGCAAACCCATAATTTACAACTGAAGTTTTTGACTATTGCTTTCATTTCTCAACATACACAAATACTCATTAGCCTCACATTTTACCTAACAAAACAATACTCTCAGTTAACCCAGGTAATAAAATGCTATTATCTTTGACTCTGTAATACCATTTTTGGTAATCTATTGTCAGGAAAATACAAAATACAAGAAAAAGCCTTATGTAAAAATATAAACTGGCTTGACGCCTGTGGCTTAAATGGCTAAGGCGCCAGCCACATACATCTGAGCTGGCAGGTTTGAATCCAGCCGGGGCCTGCCAAACAATGACGGCTACAACCAAAAAATAGCCAGGCACTGTGGTGGGCACCTATACTCCCAGCTACTTGGGAGGCTGAGGCAGAAGAATCGCTTGAGCCCAGGAGTTGGAGATTGTTGTGAGCTGTGATGCCACAGCATTCTACCCAGGGCAGCAGCTTGAGGCTCTGTCTCAAAAATACAAAAACAAAAACAAAAAAACATAAACTGATGAATTATTTACTTATAAAAGAGATAAATTTTTTAAAACAACTCAAATAGCTAATTGTAGAATGACAATTCACTATCGTTCATCCATTAGAATACTACTATGTAACTACCGTGTTTCTCCGAAAGTAAGACACTAGGGCTTATTTTCAGGGGATTTTTTTTGCATTTTTTTTTTTTTTTTGGCTGGGGGCTGAGTTTGAACCCACCACCTCTGGCATATGGGGCCAGGGCCCTACTTCTTTGAGCCACAGGTGCCACCCGGGATGTCTTATTTTTATTAAGTATAATACAACCTGCATTTATTCAAATACAGTTAAGTCATCTTCTTCTGGAACCCAACAAGGGGAGCTGACCTTGGTGGGGCTGGCGCTAGTGATGGGTGAACTCCATTCCCCTAGCCATTTGCACATGTGCAATAGGATGCCTGCCACTGCAGTTACCACACACGCACCTGCTCAAGTGCAAAGGGCTCAGAGAAAGGAGCTGTGGCAGATAAAAGGTATTCCAGTCTTCCTTACCGCTCAGCGCTGAAATGCATAGCATGGCTATGCAGATACGCTGGGTCTTATTATTGGGGTAGGGCTTATATTTAACAAATGCATAGAAATACTGCTAGGGCTTATTTTGGGGGTAGGTCTTATTTTCGGAGAAACACGGTAGTATAATGATGTTAATAGTATTATGTTAATAAGCAAGTTTTACATTAAGTGAAGAAAATAGGATGAAAATTACAAAGACGAAAATCATTTCAACTGTTTTTTTAAAAATCTATGCATAAACAAGAAAGAGAAGACATAGAAATGTTTTGTTTTGTTTTGGGGCAGTTTTTGGCCAGGGCTGGGTTTGAACCCGCCACCTCCAGCATATGGGGCTGGCACCCTACTCCTTTGAGCCACAGGTGCTGCCCAAAAACATAGAAATGTTAAAGGGGACAGCAAGTAGAACTTACCGTCTTTTTTCCCTTTTTTCTAAATGTTCTTAAATGAATGTGTTTTAATTATAATGGAAAGTATCTAAATTTAGGTTGCCTTTCCAACACATTTGTCACTTACTCAGTATCAAATTTTACAGCCAATCTTTTGCCTATATCCTCTCTTAGTATGCTATAGTAATATTAAACTTGAAAATATGTCAAATTCGGATGGTTATGTTATTCTGAAAATGTAAATCACCATTAACAGAAAACAATCTGGTAGAAGCAAGATTTAACTATTTCATTAATAGAGTCTAATACTATTTTTGACAGATACTGGGTGTTCATAAATATTTCTTAATTAACTTAATTTCTGCCCTGTAATTTGCATCGCTAAAGGGCTTTGTTTCTTCGTATTTCTTACAGTCACCTAAAAATTTATACTTAGACTCACAGACTAGACTAAGACAAAATAAAGATCTTTGGAACAAATTATTCCTGTTCTAATACTAACAGAAATTTTTCATTAATATACTTACCATAATAAAATATAAGGAAAAAAGAGCACATTATCTCAAGATGACTACAAACCTCAAATTTTAAATTATGGGAATTTATAATTGTGAAAGAAAAACTGAATCAAGAAACTTGTGATATCTTTTAGATTAACATCTCAACTGTTTGCTTATCTATATTCCTTCCAAGGGGATTTTATGTTGTTTTTACAAATTTAAGTTCTCAAAACCTGCTAGGTATAGGTACAAGTAAATAAAGTTTACAAATGTGTAAAAAGATCCATGTTAACTCTAGAAAGATGTTATTGTCTGAACATCGGTGTCACCCCAAAATTTGTATGTTGAAATCCTAACTCCCAAGGTGATAGCAAAAGGAGGTGGGGCCTTTTGCCAGGTAAGTACATCATGAGGGCAGAACCCAAGGGAGCTCATACATCCCCTCCCTCCATGTGAGGGCACAGTGAGAAGACACAATCTATGAACCAGGAAATGAGTCCTCTCCAGACACTGAATCTTTAGGTGCCTTTATATTGGACTTCCCAGCCTCCAGAACTGTGAACAATAAATTTCTGTTGTTTATAAGCCACCTAGTCCATGATTCTGTGATAGCAGCCCAAATGCATTTTAGACAAAAGAGTAAAATGAAAAAAGTGCTGTGACAGTTTTAACATTGTTTTAATGATGAAGTACAAGTACAAAACACTGTTGTACACGTTTACTTTTCATTACATGGAAATGGAACAATATGTTTGTGTTTTTACCAGAATTTGTATCACCCAGTACTAGCTACTGTACCAATGTCTTTCTATAGGGATTTCTTTTACTATGCCCATGAGTAATCATGAATAAAAAAGCTCAAAACTCTTCAAATATGGTAGATTTACATTTATTTTAATATTCCTCATCAAGATGCTTTGGAGAACTGTTAATAAATACAAATTCATCTTAGCCAAGAGTTCTGAATGGGTAATGTTACTTCAGGTTGGCCAAGATCTCCCTTATGTTGACATTGCAAAGACGCTGTGCACTTACTTTAGGTTTAAAAATGTATTGTCTCAATAGCCCTCTTACTGTGTAGGAAGGCAAATTTCCATTTCTTGAGAATTCCTGAATCTCATCATAGATAGTTATTGGTTAAGCAGTAATTCATGAAACCCCATTTACAGAAGACAACTGCAATAGAGGACCATTAAGTACCACATGTACCATAGACTAACAAATTTACAAATACTCAAACTGTGTTTTCCCTATCTCTAAAATGTTTAACCATAACAAGGGAGAATATCAGCCAATAAAGCAAAAGAAAACATAAACTGCACTAGTGTCCAGCATACACTTCTACAGTATACCTCACAGTTTTCGGCCATTTCAGCTAAGCGTTTTCTTATGACAAACAAAAATAATGATAAAAAGCAGCATCAACTTTGGTGGGAAATGTAGGGGAAAATACTAATTCCATAAAATATTTGAAATTTGTTTTGTTTCTATAAATAAATAAAATGGTGTTTATCTTTAACTTTTAATCATCATTCTTGCTGTTAAACATCAAACTTATGTAAATAGTTAGGGATAAACAGGGTATTTAAAATAACATGTCTTGAAAACTGAACCAAATTTTTAATTCCAGCATTATGCTTTGTTCTTGGTAGAATCATCTTTGTTTCTTCTTTTTACATCCCAATTATAAACCCTGGCCATATCTGCAAGAATTGTCAAAGAAAATGCAAATGTAATTCTAATGATAACATATACAATGAATCAAAGACACAGAAATCACATATATATAAATACTGATAATAGCTAGTGTTGTAAGATATCTTATTATGAAGTCAATTTCTAATTAAATACTGGAATTAAACTCTACCAAAACCAAGTGAAGGCCTCAAATCAACAACTGTTTAGCATATCTAGTCAACTACAGTATTATATTTAACAAATATGTACTAGATATACTCAAAATTTTTAAAGAAAGTCCTTCATCCATTAAATTTCAAAGATCACTCAACCCATATTCTGCTATATTAATATTTACATTAGTAAAATCATCAATAATTTTATCTCTTACTCTCCCTTTCACATAACAAGGCATTCAATCAGTTTAGTAAGCATCTACTGTGTTTCTGACTAGGCAGAGTACAAAGTCCTGAATACGATAGTTGACATTTTTCCCTCAAGGAGCATAGACTCCAGTAGAATAGTCAGTGTATTAGAGATCAGATGCCCTAACTCCCTCGAATGTCTGCACACCTTCCTACCTTTTCCAGCACTACCAATAACAAACAGCATTTCTCTAAGCTTGCAGGACTCATCTTAGATGATTTCCTTTCTTGGGCTCCTGTAACCATCTAAAGTCATCAGGTCTTGTTTTATCTCTCATCTTACATTTAGTATCTTTTCCTTTCACAAGTACCAGCCCTCCTAGGCACTCCATCTTACAGCTGGATGAAGTCTCTCTTTATATTACCAGATAATGATCCCTGCACTAGGCCCTGAACAGGCCTGCCTTCCCTTACCAACCAAAACACTCAGCATTTGCCACATGCTACATCAAGAGTTTATAGTTTAGCAAAGGAAATGTTTTTTGTTTTTTTGGTTTTTTTTTGAGATAGAGCCTCAAGCTATCCCCCTGGGTAGAGTGCCATGGCATCATGCTCACAGCAACCTCCAACTCCTGGGCTCAAGCGAGTCTCCTTCCTCCGCCTCCCAAGTAGCTGGGACCACAGGCGCCCGCCACAACGCCCGGCTATTTTTTTTTTTTTTGGTTGCAGCCATCATTGTTGTTTGGCGGGTCCGGGCTGGGGATTCGAACCCTCCACCTTAGGTGTACGTGGCTGGTGCCTTAGCCCGTTGAGCTATAGGCGCTGAGCCGGAAATGTTTTGATATTTGTAATATGACATGAACGGTAAAAAGGAGCACCCAGGTAAATAAGGGGAAATCATTCCAGGTAGGGGAAACAAAATAAGGAAAGGCAAAGGGTGTGGCACATTTGGGAGGTGAAAATAAGGGATTGGAGTTATTTGGAACCTGGGGTGCACTAAGGAAGAGCTGGAATAGGAAGAATAAGAAGCATGAAGTTAAGATTGCTCAGGACATGTCACAAGAGTGTGTGTATACATACCTTACATGCAACAAGGAACTATTGAAGTATCATAACCAAAGTAATAAAAATAAGATGTGTGACTGAATGAATTCACGCTTGAGATAGTGGGAGGGACAGCTAGAAGAAGAGACTGAAAAACTATAGAGTACAAGTTCTGGAGGCCTAGAACAAAACTAACAGCAATGGGCAAAGATTCAACAGGGAAATTTGACAAAAATCTTTTGATTGGTCACTCTTGGTAGCAAGGAAAACAGAAGTATGAAGGATGACTTGCAGATTTTTTTCTTGGGTGACTGTGACAGGAACTAGGAGGAACAGACTGTCAGGGAAGAAAAGCAAAGAGCTTGGTTTCAACATGCCTGCCCTCCCCTTTGATGCAGAATACCCCATCCTTACTTCTTCTCTTTTCTGATGTAAATCATAAACTGCCTTTAAAAACAGCCTATGTTTTATTTTCTCAAACGTTCTTTGAACTAACTCACATCTATCTTTCTCAAATTTTAAATTGCCTTGTTGCTATGAAATTATCATGTAGCTGTTTCACATGTGAAATTCTAACAGGGAAAAACTTTGGCATTCTTATTTTATTGTCATTAATTTCAATGCCCCATATGGCTTAGCACACTTGCAGTAACAAAGGAAAACCTTAATAAATGCTTGTGAACTTAAAACTTTTTAATTAACTATAAAGATATTGTGAACTAAAATAAAATCTTTTTTTTTTTTTTTTTGAGACAGA